AAATCGTAAACCAATAATTAATCGACAATTCGATAATGATAATATAAAAAAAAACAAAAACAAAACGCAATTATTATGTAACCGTTACCGGCGGTTGATCCCACACAAATCTTTCGTTAAATCATCAGTTAATTCATACGAATACAATAATCACGCGATGCAATAAAAAGCGAGTACGGAGAAATAAATCTTAATTGTCCCAAATGGCATAATAAGTTAACAATCGCTTAGTACTGTGGTGCAATCAGCCTTGTATTGTTTACAAGATACTTCCATTCATGGGTTTAAGAGTTGTAAATGGAGCTACTAGGCTATGATGGGGTAAAGTGGAAGAATTTATTCAAAGTACGCTTTTATAGGTTCATTCCTGGACTGATGAAAGAGTGTATTAACACGTCTATCACCAAATAAATAATAAAAGGTACGCTAAAAAACACTATTTAACAGGTGATCGGTTGTGTTTTCATTTCTGTGAACAGGGTTACGATAAGATTTTCATAAGATTTCTGCTGTTCAGAAATCGTATGAAAAGGGCAGAGAGCACGAGTCCGTGGAAAAAAACTAGTATTTTATAAAAAAATGGGAAAACACTCAACTACCTCTAGCTGGAAATAGACCCTAGTGGGAACCTTCTGTGATGGCCTGTTGGCTCTTTGAGGCGCTCGCGGAAGATCGCGACGCGCAGTAAGCTCTGGTCTAATTCTGGTCGGTTGATGAGCTATCCTTGTTTGCCGACAGACAGTAGCGCGATCTCCTTCGTCCAGAGTGGATACTTCAGATGTTGAGGTGTGAGATGGACAGTTCCCCTACGCGACGCAAAGCAAAAATGACTGCTCCGCAGAAGGAGCTCCGGCTTCCCAAATCCACTCTGGACAGGCCTAAAACCGAACACGAGAGGTTGCCGCTGCTAACCACTTCCCTGAGGACAAGGCGGTGTCCAATCAGAGCCAAATCACCATCGTATGCTCCACCATGCTATCCATATGACCTTATGACCACTATCCTCACAATGCAGTTACCAAAATTTAAAAACGTAGTCCACGTAATTGCTATAATGCGGTAGTACTTGAACTAGATACACACAACACGTAAATTTAACCGTATTTCCTCAAGGTTAACGGTTAAACTATTTCGCCAGTTAACTAATAATATAACAGTAACTGCTGTTTGTGGTGCACGTGAACAATGATCCGAATATGTGCATTACATGAGCAGTGAGTTTGATTTGTGTGGCCATGAGAACCGCGTTTATAATTGTCATTTTTAGTTAGGTACTAGTTACTTCTCCTGCTCGGATCTTTTTGGTCGTAGCGTGTTGTTTTATAGCCTATAACCTTCTTTGATAATTGGTCTTTATCTAACCAACACAAAAAGAATTGTTCATTTTGTACCATTCACTTAAATTCACTTGGTTTAAGCAAGCTAACAAACAAACTCTAGTTTTATAATATTAGTATTTTATAGATGAATTTTTAGACAGAGCCGTATTATCCGTAAAGCATACAGGTTGCGGAACAGCGCCACGGAGCGCGTATAGCTAGTTTTCTAAGACTTTCTCTGGATATAATCCATCCCTGTATGGCTAGCAGTGGCTGAAGTAATTTAAGTCGATATTTTTTCTGATCTCTTATATAACATAGCGTTAGTAACATATGCAAACATGTACAACATATCACGTATCATTCATTGTACGTACTTTTACAAAAAATCCTAAGCAATTACTATGTACCTATGTGCTTTGTACAGTAACTTTCATGTAATCCAATCAGTGTAATCCTCTTACTATACGATGGCAGGTGTTTATATACACCTACGCTACGTAAGAAATAGATAAATTAAAAGATCCTCTAATCTAACAGCTGACAGATATGCTACAAGATCTCTGTAACCTAGTAATTCAGTATATTTTCCTTGTATCAAGCCAAATGCAATCGTGGTTATAAAGGTCATAATGTTAATTGTTTGCTGTTTATTATTTCGGGCAAAGGCTATGCAATTATTAAATACTGCCCTTTTTCATTATTATGTTTAAGAGCGTTCACATCGCACGGATTTTCTGTAACGTTTTAGTTCAAAAGTAATGAAAACTATTCGACCGATTTTAATGATACTTGGTTCTCATATACAAAACAACTTAGAGCCAGAGTCTGAAGCCTAGAACTGGATTAAGTACTTATATTTTCTAAATATTGTTCAAACGAGCATTAATTTATTCTGTTGTATGGAAAATTTTAATTGCCACGACTAGTTTTCAGCCATCCCTGCGGGGAGGAGTTAGGGGTTTATATTCACGAGGATATCATCAGTTTTATGTTTATATTAAAATTAAATTGTATTTTACTCTTACGCTCGCTAATTTCCTGGCCACACGTAATGACGGACGGGGCGATTCTGTTGTTCCGCTCGGCATGTTTTGACTAACTCGTCCATTTCACACGATCGCAAGTGGAATACTAATTCCATGTTTATAGGTAGGTCAGGGTTTATGCCAAATTGTTTTTTTTCTACATATCCGCGCCAACCCTCGCTTTGTAAAAGTTTATGGTAATTTTATGTGAAGGTTTTCTGCTTTTTGACTGTTTGATGTATTTTTTTTGAGTTGGTATCTGTCTTGTTAAAAATTAAAACGCAGTTTTTAAAATTAAAGTAAGTTTAGGAAACATACTAAGGTTAAGCATTAGTAATATGCGGCGTTACATTAAAGGATTTATAAGCTTTACTTAAATATATCATAATATAAGTAAAAAAAAATTGAGACACAGACTAATAACGATGATTAGCATCGTTATTTTTCTAAATAATATTACTGCTAATACACTGTATGAAGTCCTATCTGTTAATTATTAAAATAAGTAAGTAAGGCTTTTGTTGATAAACACTGTATAGAATCACAGATCAGAAACAGAACATGTGTCGCTATCTATCGGCCGTCGTAATAAACAGATAGATGCGCGGTCAGCGTAAAGAAACAATAAACGTTACTCAGCTCTACTGTAGTTCGACGCTTAGATCACAGATGGCGTTGTATTCAACTTAACATATGTACGTTTTTAAAATGCAATTTTTAATTATTTTCTTTTATTCTTTCCAGGTAAATAACATCTTGATCGATTTTCAAAACTGCCGGATAAAATAAAAAATAGAAACTGAAGTAAGTAATTAAGTATATTTTTAACACTAAAAATAAAATTGAGATATTTCTAGCTATTTAGAGTAAATTGATATTTATTAATAAGTAGCTTATTACTACTGAAGGTCCAAAAATATGTATCCTATCACAGCTTTACGATTTCTCAGAATTATTTTATACATAAGGTACTGTTAATATCTTCAGAATAAGTTGTCGAAATAAAAAAGGATTATATGCACATTATCAATTTATTGGTAAAATTACTTTAATATGATTTAAAAGATAACATTTTCTCGTATCATCTTTTCATTGAGATAGTCACGTAGGCTATAATAGTAAAACTGTGGTATTCACTTAAATTCAATTAAAATTAATTTTCTATTTTATGATTATTAAAGTCTTACAACTAGACATTCTATGCGTTTACTAAATAGTAATGAAAGTTGTCATAGCTCAGAATAGTTTGAAGTTAATTTATTTTGCCCTCGGCATCGCCATCTTTGAAAAGACTAGCGGTTTCACTTAATAAGTATTAAAACGTCTTTACATTTTCCTTTTATGAAAATAAGTGATATATAATCATACATATACATACAGATATTATTCGGAAGTCAGTCAGGCTTTGAAACACCTTATCATAAGCTTAGAGCTAAGCAAAGGCCTCTTCTCACACGGAGAAGGTTTGAGCATTAACCATTACGCTTGCTCAAGACCGATAGGCGATTTCAAGCTTATAATTATGAATGAAAAGTCTAATTTTCTTCACAATGTTATCATTCACCTTACAGTGGTATTTTCAAAAGTATACGTATATAACTTGGATTGGAAAAAGTTACTATAGTACATCTCGTTAGTTGGCAGATTTGGGACCTTCATGCATGAGAAGTGGGTGCCTTAAGCTCAGAGCCAACACACATGTTGCAGGATCATGGTAACGTCCAGGGTTGCGGGTCAAGCGTAATAAGGTACTGCGGCTTTAGCCTAGAGCAGGAGAAAGATCGGCTTTTATTCAGTAAGAGTCTGACACTGCCTTTCACCATGCCATGGTCGAGAGAAGTCATACGATGATTTTCCCTTCTCAAAAAATGAGCTACATTGAAACTCCTTTGATATAAACAATACGCAAATTAGTGAAATCGCCCCTTATGTATATTCTCTGCAGGTTAAGCAAAGGCGTACAACGCCGATGTTGATCACTCTTTTGAGTTCAAACTAATATTATAGTTCTACAAAACTAAGTTTATCGAGTATTTTAGTGCAGTAGTTAAAATAGTAATTTAAACTCAGCTCCGCTAAATAGTACAAACTTTTTGAAAAGTTCGACACGCAGAAATATTGCTTATGTTCACGCAAACGTCTTTCAAATTCGAAATTAGGCTATCACACCGAAAACAGCAACCGAACAATAGGTTGATAAAGATAATATTAGATTATAAACAGAATTCAATTTATGTATATTTTACATACATAAGCTATTTCCGTCCTGTTTTGCCCACTGCTCCTATTGGTTGCAGCGTGATCTTTATAGCCTTTCTCGATTAATTAACTTTCCAACACAAAAAGCATAGTCAAATTTGAACTAGTCGTTGCTGAGTTTAGCGCGTTCAAACACAAACAAACTCCTTAGCTTTATAGCTTACATCAGACCTATTAAATTAATAATGATGTTTAAACGTTATTCCAAATTTTGGGCTATTAGTCACAAATCAAAGAAAAATCTAACCATCCTTTGCCCGACGCAGGATTCATATCAAAAAACCTTTGCTCGGTTACAAAATCAATATCGATCTGCGATCATTTCACCACAAAATAAAACAAGCAAATAATAGTCAACTAAATAAAGTATATTTCAAAACACATTCGAATTGTTTCAGCGGTTTTCAGCTTCAGCGTTTTCCTTATCGATGACAGCTATCAAATCCTGTATGGCGCTCGGTTCCAACATTGTGACTGGTTCGCCTCTTTTGATGACTGCCACCTAGATAAAAATATTATAAGCTAATTATCCGCTCTAGGTTCACCCACTTTGTCAAAACTATAATCAATTATAGTTACATATAAACCTTTGATTGATGCACTATATTCTATAGGTGCAAATCGTACTGTAATCAGTTATTTTTAGTTAATCGCCATTGTAAGGACAGACGCGATTATTATGATAGTTATAGGTTAGTTAATACGTTTTGAAAATAGTCTCTCAACCTTATATTAAGTACGTAGAGTGAAAAAAGAGGAAGGATTTGTCGACGTATTGATGCCGCGCTTAAAAAGATAGTTAAAAGTTGATACGAAATAAGTGAGGGGGAAACATGCCTTGGCACAAAATAGGCCGGCTCAGCTTGAGTGCATTAGGTACTCCTTACAGAAAAACAGACAGAGAAAGCCGACATGAAAAAACGCTAGCTTGTAGTCGTGTGAGTAAGCTTATCCGAAGGTGGATTGGAGTTAGGAAATGTGCCTCCCTAACCCCCCAAAAAGATCGACAACGCATTCGTAACTGATCTGGTCTGCGAGCATGCATGGAGGACAATATATATTACAACAGCCCGTCATTCATCACATAAATAAAATTGATAGAAACGAGGTAGGTACCTAACCACATTGCGTTTATGCAGTAAAATTTAACTGCAATAGTAACGAGCTAACAGATTTATTTAATTGCCAACGAATGGTCTAACTGAGTGCAGTTCAAGAAGTCAGTTACGTTTAGTAGGTACCTATATATGCGAATGACTTTCATTTCATTGAAAATCAACCTTTGAGAATTTGAAAGTTTCTAAGATTTCAAAACGATTTATATTATACATCAGCGAGATAGCAAAAAATATATTTAAGTAAATTGTTTGTTGGTAAACGCACCCATGACACAGAAGAAATCATGTGTGTGAGGAAATGTTTTTTTATAATATTTTTTTTATATCTTATCTCCTATCAAAAACTTTTCCTCACCTCCTCTCACAGCCGTCTGGATAATCTGATGGTAAGCAATCGGCGCGGAAGGATCGGATGTTCGTACATCCGCATGCTCCGCTCCGTTGTTCAGGATGTATGGACATCCGCAACATGCCATACGGAGTTACGAGTACGTTGCTAACCTTTTGGGGATTAGGGTTCGGAAGATTAAAGTATTGGGAAGATATTGGGGAAAGGTAATATTGGGCCTCTGGTAAACTCACTCACACGGCGAAACACAACTCTGTGATTATTTCACGCCGGTTTTCTGTGAGGCCGTTGTATCACCCCGGTCGAGCCGACCTATTCGTGCCGAAGCATGGCTCTCCCACACTCTTTTTTGTTAAATAATATAAAGATATCAAGCAATTTTAGAATCACTTACATCCAAATTCCTCTGTCCAAAGTGCACCACCTCCAGTATAGCTCTGATTGCAAGTTTCGTGGCAGCGTTTTCATTTTCCACCGCTTCTGCGCTGTAGTACTTCTCTAGAAACTCTCGAGATGTCTTGTCGTATTTGCCTGTAGTGGTTGCCTTGCAGAAAAATAGAAATCTTTTATTTGTCAATGTAGGTATGTCTCAATAGATGGTAGGTGTTATTACAGATTATTGAACATCGCATTATAAATATATTCATAACTATTGCATCTTCTGCTAAGTCCAAATGGGACTGTAGTTTCTGGATTGGTCTGTTATGTTAAAGAGAATTAAGTGTCGCTTGTTTTTAAACATAGCTTGACCACTCAGTAATCTATTTAGTAACTAATCTTAGATAAAAGTGTGGTTTTATTATATACAGTCCCTAATCCCCAAATCCCTAAATCTCTAAAGGGCTTCAGTGACAGAGCCCAGGGGCAATTGCAAGGTATTTACAACTTTTCTGGTGTTGCGAGTGCCTTTAGTGGTGCCAATTTCTTACCATCAGGTGATCTATCTGTTGCCCCTACGCCTTAACTTAGGGAGGTGTTTCATAAAATGAATACATTAAAAAAACACCTGTACTACACTGCTTCTGCAACTCTTCAACTTACCTTCCACTCATAATAAATCCCAGAAGGTTCAGTCTGGAACAGATGAGGCTGTCCATCATAGTCAAATCCTCCGACCAAGCAGGAGATACCAAATGGCCTTCTCCCATTACTCTGCGTGTAGCTCTGTTTCATTTCTGCTATGTACCTTGTTATATACTCTATGGAAACGGGATCTTCGACTGTTAGGCGGTGGGATTGGCATTCTATTTGAGCTCTGCGGATAAAAAGAAAATGGATCCTTGTACATCTATATATATCCTTGTATATCCTTGTACAGCTTTAGACTGGTACCTAAGTTTGAGAATTGTATGAAGGTCTTTCTGTTTGCTAACAGTGGTCCTGAGAAGTTCTAGATTAATTGAGAAGTTTTTAGTGAGTTAGAAAAAGATCTCAACTATTGTGGTTTCAAACTTCCTCTTCTCTCGCGTATTAAGTGAGAAAAAAATACATTGTTAGAACTTCTAATACTATCTGGTTCTTATAAATCAAGTAGTGACTTGTTTCATTTTAATCATGATAAATGGACGCGTATTTCTAATAATGATTGTTACCTTCAAAATTGACAATGCAATAGACATTCAAAAAACTTTACCTAGATATCAAAACTCGAGCATCTGCTCTCAAACCAGCAAAGGCCAGAACCACATGGTCATCTAAAGGAACTATTTTCTTCTCCGTTCTCTCATCCTGCAGCTTTTCTACCGATTTCTTCTCAACTGCCAATACTATAACATTTGGACCCCTAACACCCACCACTGGGGATCCCTTCCTTACCGCTTCTTGGGCATACTGGACCTGAAGAAGTTGCCCGTCTGGAGAAAACACTGTTATTGCTCTATCGTACCTAGCCATTTTCCTGTGTAATATATAATACCTAAATATTTTATAAATTATAATAAAAAAACTTGAAATCCTTTCGAAAACTTTCGTCGTTAATTTGACGTTTCGTTTTTGACAGATCAAGTTTTTATCGAGGGCTATTTGACGCAAAGGTATCCAGCCATTCAGCCTTTCTTTGCGAAAGTTTTATTTCCAAATTAAGTGAGTCAATTATTTTATTTGGTATTTGGCATGTTTGTGTCTGTTCAAATTATTACACGACAGCACATTTGGTATTTAAAGATTTCAGAAATCAGAAGTAAGAAATAAATTAATTCCAGGGACAAAATAAAGCAATCAATATAACCTCAAATTGCAACTCCGATTCCTTCATTAAATCAGTGTTGCCAGTTCCATATGTCTCATGTGCTCGTCGCGTTCGTTTTATTTGCACTTGATTCTGTCTCGGAGAGATATGACGACGTTAATGTTGCCAGCTGATAGATTTTATTGACTTTCCCGCGCTTTGAAGTTTAACAAATTGCAGAGAAGGTGCTGTATGGAATGCGAACTTTGTGTGTGGTGTGATCTCGATGTTTTAAGTTACATACATGTAATTAGCTGAGGGAAGGTGGATTTTTTTTTAATGTATTTGTGTCTTCGCCTTGTGGAAATAACAGGGACCATTACTTATAAGTTCACTGAGTAAACATGTAACTTTTGAAACCGTGTCACGTGTTATTTGTATCTTTGATAAAGAGATTAAATTTAATGTGAAATTCGCCTTCACGTCTAATGTGAAAGTCGCTTGTTCTGTCCCTATATCCCTATGTATGCTTAAATTCCTAAAACTACGCAACGGATTTTGATGCAGGTTTTTTTATAAATTAGAGATAGACAGATTGTTTGAAACCTTCGTTTAAATTTGTAACTAGCTACTGTCACGCAGTTTCATTCATTTTAGTGAGATGTTTTATAGCCTATAGCACTTAGGAACATTATTGCTATCTATCAGTAAAATAATTTTGACAATCCGACAAGCGGTTCCATAGATTACCCCCTACATACAAAATTTAACTCTTTATAATATTAGAATAGATAACATTGATAAAATTGTGGAGAAATTCGCATTTAGAGTGCGAAGCGAGGCGGGTCGCTAGTTTGAAATAAATTCGAGAAAGATCGAAAAGACCGATGGCATTATCAAGGTTGATCTCATAAAACACATTGACCACCATATTCGTCGTTGCTTCTGCCAAATGACTCCCAAACTAGTTAACATACAAATTGTTAATGGCGGCCAAGTTTGAACTGTTTGTAGGGTTCTGCACATACCACCTAATGTTTTCTATGCTATTGAGTCTGTGGCTTTTTTAGTATCTGTGACATTCTTCCCTCATCCCTTCATCCTCACTTTTTGCTGATAGTTTAAGAATTTTATGAAATGTTTATGTTAAAACCGAAATTAATATCTATCTTAGTTTCAATTAACAAAAATATCCTGTTTTATTTACGTTTTATATAGGAATTCAATTAAACGAATGTTCTTTATCGATTTAAATCCTTAATGTTTGAATTGGGATCGGTTATTGGTTTAATACGTTAGAATTTTTTTTTTAGGGTATAAGTCGGCAAACGAGCTGACGGATTACCTGATGGTAAGCAATCGGCGCCGCCCATGGACTCCCGCAACACCAAAGGAGTTACGAGTGCGTTGCCGGCCTTTTGGGGATGGGGGTTGCGGATATAAGGATTGGGAAGGGAAATCAAGTGTTCATATTTATTTGCTGTTCCCAGTTCAGCATAAAACAGCCAATTTTAACTCTGGCTGTCAGTTGATGATCAACAAGAAAGTTATCTGGTGTGGTCTTAACAAATGTAATTAGTAAGAACCCAACCTTATCCCCTATTCAAACACACAACTGGTTCCGTCAAATCACTCCTCAAAAGCTTGACAGGTTCAATTAGAATTATAGTTCTGTTAATCGGATTCGGAAATTATGGATTATAAATAATATTTATTTACTTGATTAGTCTTTCTAGCTAATTAATAATGATTTATTATAGTTTAATAAATTGTAATTTAATGGTCTCTCGATAATTTTGTGTGTATTTTAGAACTTGTCTTTTCAAATTTTGCTTTTAAAAAGTTTGTTATTAAGGTTTATTTTATGTTGCAATCTCGTTTTTTTTTTGTCACCGTGGTATTAAAACCTACTTTTTTATATCTACCTACTTAACGACTTATCGAGTACATAAAAATACTAATAAATAGTGTATGTTCTTGCGCAAATGTGAGTATGAAAAGTTAGCCTATGTTATTCACTAAAAATAAACATTCCAGTGCTTCCAATTTTTATAAATCGATCTGCCTTTGTTTTGATAAATCAAGGCATAGCACTCAAGAACATTGTAGATATTTATCAGTGAAAGAATTTTGGCAATCCGACCAGCGGTTCCAAAGATTACCCCCTACATACAAACTTACAAATTTTACCTCTTTATAATATTAGTATAGATGTTGTTTATCATTAAAATTTATTAGGTATATTTTATTAGTAAAATTAATTATTTTTGTCTCTAGTAAATCCGATAAATAAACAAGAATCGGTCGCAAACAAACAGCTGGTCTGTAAAAAAAAAGAAACATGGATGTCTCAAATCGTCGATTAGTTTTAAAGCTTATAACGTGACTAATTAATTACAAAAAATTAGCGCAGTTTAGTTGACTAACTAGTGATAAGTGGAAGAAGTAATTTACTCAAAAAAATCTATAAATAAAAGTGATCCAGTTAATGTCTTTCCTAGTACTCTATTAAAAACACAGATTGACTTATTAAGAAATGTATTTTTTTATGTAATTGATGGTATGCAATCGGCGTCGCCTATGACATCGGTAACTATGGAAGAATTGCTAGTGCGTTTTCAGCCTTCTGGGGATAAGGGGTTTTGATGATTTGGAGGGATTGAGCCTCCGGTGGTGGTTGTTTCATGCTGGTTTGCCGTGAGGTTGAAATCATTCCAGTTGAGCCGGCCCATTCGTGGCGAAGCATGCATGGGTCTCCCACACTATTTTTTAGCTTATATTCGTAGATCATAATGTGTACCTAATGCTGAAAAAAAAACCAATATGTTTATAATCAACCCGGAAAATAGTATTACGACCTTCTTTAGGTCAGCCTCTACATTATAGGTACTACACTTTATATTTCCATGTCTCAGCGAAGGCTTTAATATTACATAACGTTTTTCATTCATAAATCCAAAGTACCACATGATGTAACTTGTTTGTCTACGCTAACCTTCTGATCTACTCATGCCCTTAACGACTAACCGTGAAGTTATTTGCTGACCGTGGGCGCAGTGGGGGCGAGCATTGCCAAATATGCAGGTTTGATCCCCGGCTGATGTCATCAGTATCGATTCAAATGAGCTCATAATATTGTGTCATTTGGTGAATGAGAAGTTTTGGCATTTTGTCGTGAATTTTGTTGTTTTTAAGTAAGATTAGGTTGGAGTTTTACCCGCTGCACTCAGAATCATTCAATGGTTACTCAAAACAAGAATTCGCTAATTGTTTTCCGAGCAAAAATGTTACTAAAGAATAATTTAAGTCATTAATAATATAAGTGCCCACTGCTGCAGCAAAGGCCTCTTCTCACACGGAGAATATTTGAGCTTAATCACAAATCAATCCACATAATTGCCAGCCCCCTAACGTATATGCCATAAGTGGCCATCCTGCTTGGCCATAGGCCTTAATACGTTTTTTACCATCACAAATCCAATGGTACAAAAAAGTAATTTATTCATCATTAATCAATTACTGACCTTTCTCATTGCTCTAACGGTATTTAAGAAAAAAAGTTGTGATATGTCGCCCCAAACTGTATCAACATAACAGCACTTAGTACAATCAGTTACTCAGTACCTATGAGTAACTGTTATCAGATTACCAATTTATTAATGCGGGTGGATAAGTAAGGAACTAAAATGTTTTATAAAGAAAAAAGGAAAAAACATTATCTCTGACGGCAGATGTCATTATTTGTATTGTTATTAAAAATACCAATTTTTTTACTGTGAAATAAAATGGTTGGACACCAAAATAATGAAAAAGAATCTAAGTATGTTTATAAATGTGCAGCTAAACATAAGCGTACCTAAAATAGGCCACTAAATATATAGACAACTGGGAAAATTTTCTTATCAAAAGAAAGTTCGAAGAAATAAACATGATAAACAAAGCTTAAAAATAAACATTTATTCATACATCTTTTTATTGACAGCAAGTCACGAATTTACTGTTCCTTCGTTAGATTGAACACACTAGCGCCAATATCAACTGCAAACTTATGTTTGTATTTTCTTATTAAGTTCGTAAGTTTTTGCCGCGCTAATCTCCTGTCCGTAAATGGCCGCCCAAGTGACCGATTTGGTGACGAAAAAAATATTTATAGATACGCTAGTCATGTTTTTGTGGGTGCAGGAGTACTACTGCCTACGTAGACGACTACCTTATTACAATGAAGTAGGGTTGCCCTAAGGATATGTTCCTGATCAATAGCGTTGGTGAATTGACAGTAATTAAAAAGTTTTTTTTTACATTACTTCTAGTATTGGGGAAATAACTTTGATTTCATATATTTTTATTAGAGGTGTGTCCCTGCTTCGTAAGGTCGACTATCACTGAGTCGTTCTGAATTACCGAGATGGCATTTTATTTTTTTGGAATTTTCTTTTATTATTACCTTATTTTGACTTAAACTCTCGCACGTCCGTAAACACTTTTTCTTCGTCTTATAATTCCCCCGGGAACTCATAGAACACAAAAAAATAATTTTCGTATTCGGTTCAGCCGTTCTCGAGATTTGCACTTTGCAGATTCAACATAAGAAATACATATTTTACTTTCTTAATAAGGTAAACGAATTAACAATATGTAGTCAGTCATTCATTTTCAATTAAGTACCTACTTAGTTTTAATTCTTTTTATAAAAAGATTAACATCTTTTACTAATTAATCCCTTTTA